ACAAACACAGTTGTCTGTGAAGTCAGTTGGCCTCTTTGTCCATCCTGCCACTAACCATAAATGTGAATGAAAAACATTTAACGTCATCCCCATTAAAATACAATTTTGAATGCTTACCCGGTCTAAAGACATTTCCTGGGCCACAGCTGTCTTTCCACCTTGTTCACTTTGGTGAGATACTGGTGAGCACGGAGCAAGCTGACGTCACGTGGTCACATGACATGAAGTATAATACTAAGTGTTGCTTTTACTTTTTTCTAGGAGGTTCCTTATTTGCTTTGAGGCAAACTGAACAAAACAGGTTTAAAGCAGAAATCATGATTTTCCCTTAGACCAATGTAAAAATGCACTTTAAATGAACGACCCAGTAGTTTCACTTTTTTCAGTAGTAGCTCTCTTGTGACACTAAAGGTTGTCAAAAGCCATGAAGTGGACTTGATGTTGGTTTTAAGTGACTATTTCTTCGGTTTCAATCTAAACTGTTGACAGATCTATGGATTATTGAGAGTAACTGAGACATTTGCTCTGAAAAGACTCTCTCTGTCACTCTCGTTTTGCTTTAAGATAAACAATGTAACACCATTTAAAAACATATATTTATAAACTTATTTCTCAATAGGTATCCCTTTTATTTATTTGTACCTGTGTGTGTTAGACCGTTCACCAACAGGAGTGATCTTATTAGGGGGAGACCTGAACAACATATTCTGCTTTTATGAAAGCTCAACTAAAAACAGGAAAATAAACCTGCAGGATGTATGGAGAACTTTACACCCCAATACAATAGTTGTTTCACACCACTGAAATAGTCAAATACAGTATTGATATATCAAATAGTCCTGGACAGGTTAACAACATGATAATATCATGCCACTGTTAAATCCACAAAACAAAATACATCGTCTCATAGGATGTGGAGAATGAATAGGAACAAAATGAACAATGAATTCAATTTATTAAAACAGAACTGATTTATTCATCTAAACCAATGCAGAGGTGCTGGACCCTCAGGACAGGCCAGGTTTGATTTGGGATGCATCAATCAATTAATCACTATTAATAGGTACATTCATCTCGTGAGTGACTGTGTGTGTGTGGATGGGGATACAAGATTAGCTGTGATAACAACAATGTGACTGTCTGGTACTGATGATGAGGAACTCAACCAGGGTCAAATTATGAAATTTAGATTTCTGAAGAAATTACACTATTGTAACGTATTTCATTTATTGTATTCAGACCCTTACTCACAATAAAAAAATAAATAGAAGAATCACATTAGTGTAATTCAGTCCAGCAGGTTACCGTGCAGTTAAAATGGGATCTTTTTCCTCATTGGCCACAAGGGGGTGTGAAACTACTGTAATAGACACCAACACAACACAAGTAGCCTACTGCTTTTTAAATACAAAGTGAAATAATTCAGATCTTTTTTTTTGTTTTAATATTGATGATTACGGCTCATGGAAATCAAAAATCTACATCTCATCAATATTACAATATTAGATTAAAGAACGTATAACACGAGCCGACCTGAGAAGAGCCTTTAATCTCTCAGTCCGGTTCAGTACACACAACCACAATCATGGGGAAGACTTCTGACTTGACAGTTGTCCAGAAGACATTTACTGAAGGCAGGGTCAGCCACAGAAGGTCACTGCTGAAAGGGCAGAGTGCTGGATCAAAGTATATTCATGGAAAGTTGACTGGATTTTAAAGTGTAGGAAAAGCTGGACAAGCAACAGGGATGACCGCAGCCTTGAAAGGATTGTCAAGGAAAGCTGAACTTGGGGAGCTTCATAAGGAGAGGACTGAGACTGGAGTCAGTGCATCAAGAGCCACCAGGCACAGACGGGTCCAGGAAATGAGCTACAAGTGTCACATTTCTAGTGTCAAGCCACTCCTGAACCAGAGACAACGTCAGAAGCGTCTAACCTGGGCTGAGTAAAAAAAGAACTGGACCTTTGCTCAGTGGTCCAAAGTCCTCTTTTCAGATGAAAGTAAGTTTTGCATTTATTTTGGAAATCCAGGTCCCAGAGTCTGGAGGACGAGTGGAAAGGCACATAGTTTAAGCTGCTTCAAGTCCAGTGTGAAGTTTCCACAGTCTGTGATGATTTGTGTTGCCATGACATCTGCTGGTGTTGGTCCTCTGTGTTTGATCAAGTCCAGAGTCAATGCAGCGTCTACCAGGAGACTTTAGAGCACTTCATGTTTCCATCTGCTCACAAGCTTTATGGAGATGCCGATTTCCTTTTCCAACAGGACTTGGCAGCTGCCCACAGGGCCAAAACCACTAGAACTGGTTTGCTGACCATGGTGTCACTGTGCTTGGTTGGACAGACAACTGGCCTGAACTGGACCCCTTAGAGAATCTATGGAGTATTGTCCAGTGGAAAGTGAGAGACACCAGACCAACAATACAGACGAGCTGAAGGCCACTATCACAGCTGCCTGGGCTTCAAAACGCCTCAGCAGTGCAACAGGCTGATGGCCTCCATGCCACGCCGCCTTGATGCAGTAATTCATGCAAAAGGAGCCCCCACTTTTTTACTTAAATTACGGGGAATAATTTACTTTTTCACGATATTCAACTTTTTTGAGATGCACCTGTGAGTCAGTCACCGAGCAGATAAAATGGAAGCTTTTTCCATAAATGACCACAATGGGCTGCCAAACTATTCTAGTTGATAACAACAAAACAAACTCATTGTGTACCAAAGCCTACCTGATAACTTTTTGAACCTTTTGAACCTTTCAACTAATTTTTTTCCCTGCTAAAATATTTTCCTGTTTTATTCGGTCCTGGTAGTGATGCAGTCCAACAAACACAAATGACACATCCTACTCACCATCCACACTAATGAGTGATTACAGTTTTTCTCATTTGCTAAAACCCATTTGCTGAACAAAGTTCACAGTTCCCTGAACTCATTTAGCTAATTGTGCAGTCTGTTGTCAATACCTTAAACCATTCGACATGGTAAAACACAATCTGCAGATCTCACGTAGACTTTTCAGCAGAACTCAAAACACATTCTGCACTCTAATGCACATGTCGTCCATATTGGTAAACACAAGTGGCAACAATCAAATACAAATAGAGAACACATGTCATTGATCAAACACAACCACTCAAAATTGATTTCACTTGTTTCAAATCATGTGACACAACCAATATAAGCCAGTTCAGAGAGCAAACAGGTTGTTGAAGGTGGGACGGAGAAATTGTCCAGCCCTGAACATTGTGCTTTCCATTTGTTTACAGCATTGACTGCTCAATAGATTTTGACTGGCTGCACAGAAATAAAGGACAAGTTTGTCAGATGCAGGGTAGATTACTGTAAAAATTGGAGGAGGAGGAAGAACAAAAAAAAATGCAAAGAGCAAAGCAGAGTATAATTTCTGATAAATTTTGAGCTACTTTGATGAGATTAAAAATGCACTTCTCCCTGAGAACTATGTTTTGTACTTGTTTTTGTTTTCTATTTTTTGGTGTATTTCTTACTGACTCATTTTGATCGCTTTGTTTATGATTTGAGAGCAGTGTTTGGTTTTGAGAACAGGTACAACTGTTTTGAGGCAAAAGTTTCATTTTGCACGAGGAGTCAGCGGTTTTGTAAATAGTGCTTGAAGCTGAGGTTTTGTGATGAATGTTTTCAGGAAATGGGGCAAGGTTTCAGAAATTGTGTTTTAGCAATTGAGAAAAACTGTAATGCGACCACACAACACTTTCACTCTCATAATATTTATAAGACCTTGACAAAGCCTACAAAATAAGAAACATGGCATTAATATAAAATAACTTTGTAAATACTGTTGTAGGCCAACAATCGGATTTATAGGGGGGAAATGCTTATAGCTGTTTTTATAACCTTCCTAAAGTGTGTTCATGAAACAAATATGATTTATTGTTCGTGAACGCACCACAGCTTCAGCTACTGCCCATACAGCCAATGGGACGGTGTGACAAGATCCGTGGAACCAGGCCCTTTTTTTCACTAGAGCCACTGCCCCCCAAAATGTCTGTGCACGTCTCTGGCAGGATCCGTGGAAATAGTCCCCAAAGCAGCATTTTTGTGCCGCTGCCAGCTTCAGGTGTGCTGGAAGCAGCATGAATGTTGACAGGCCTACGTGTCCTGCGTCTCTGACACGTTAAAATCCAAAAGGACTCACTAATGACTCACCCTGTTTTCCTGTGATTATGCTAACGTTACATTGTGAACAATGGCAGCTTTTCTCACATTTTTACAAACTCAACCTTCTGTCTTTGTTTGTTGTCTTCACAAGTTTCAGATTGAGCAATATTGACCACCCACTTCCTCATGTCACCATCAGTCTTTGTTGTATTCATAGTCACAGACATTGTGTTTAAATTGCTCTATAGAAAGGCTGGAGCCTTTGGGTATTTCACTGATTTATGTTGGCAGATGTGGAAATGATTCCAGACTAAGAATCGGGGCAGGAGAGAGGATCTTCAGGTCAATAAGTTTTATTGTAGAAGCTGCAGTTCACAGAATAAATATACATGCTGATACCTATGGGCTCTGAGTACTGAGGGTGAGTGTAGCGGGGTTCTCTTCCAAACTCTCAATAATAAGAGAAAACACAGGCGTAGTCGAAAAATAGTAACTATTTGAAAAAAGAATTTATAACTTACTCAATAATAAAGTTACACAAAAACCCAACATACAATTCACTAGTTACCTCCTCTGTAACCAGGCCAAGATTGCCCTCACAGGCCAAAGCGGCGACTTTTAAAGACAGTAGCCCCTCCCACTAGGCTTAACCATTATTTACACCATATAATGAATAGATTTTACTACCTTCAGAAAAGGATTTATATCTATTACACTTCGATATATTTCAACAATAATTATATCCAACATTTTCCTTCCCCTGGAACAGTTACTTACATCACAAAATATAAAACCATAATTTTGCAGTTCACATGCCCATGAAAGCGCGCGAGAACATGCTATTTAAAAGACGGAAATGTTACACTCCCGTTTTGCCAAACTGAATGGAAAACAGAGCAGCGATGCATCTCGACACAAAGTAAGTGTTTGATGTTTGTTTAAATGTATGCTTAAAGAAGAGTAGAACTACCAAGTGTGCACCCTTGATCGCGCTACTTAAACAGTAGAAGAAATATGCATAATAGCGAGGTTTATGACCGGCTTAATTGAGGCTGTAAGGGAGCGGGGAGGGAGTGAGTGTGTATGTGTGTGTGTGCGTGCGTCCCGCACTCAGTGACGGAGCCGCTCCGACAGTATGTGTGGTCTGCAAAGAAAATAATAACAAAATATGTGAATAAACATGCAATAACAAAGATTACATGCTGAATGAACACTATAGAAATTTATCCTCATAACTTCCACTGTTGTTGATTTGTGGGCAAAAACCTGCAGAAAGTGTCCAGGCTTTTCTCTCTCTCAGCATGCAGTGAGTGCAGACACTGACAGTCATGTTAAGGCTTTCTCACATATCATCTATTATTATCTATGCATTGCACGACTAAATTTCTATTCTTATTGTACATCCTGCAGTATAATGACTTCTCTTCTTTTCTGCGTAACCACATTAGCTTTGGTGTGAATGTGGTGATGACACTGTCTGATTCTTGATGTCATTGCAACACCTTTTACATGCGAAGAGAAACTGGCATGTTTCTGCTCAGACTCTAGTTGCAAAATAATTTTTATAGCACAATGAAAAAAACCCACTCCTGTTTATTTCAGTGTTGTGTTCATTTGACTTGATTTCCCCTGTGTGTATTTGATACCTGAAGTTACTGTAGCAACATGAGGTAAAATATCTCAAATTACATACATCTTTACTCAGCCCACAGGACACATAGTCTGAAAATTAAAAGTTGGAAAACATTAATTAAAGCTATTATAATCTTTAATACTACTTTTACATATTTTATTTCTAGTTTAATGTACCCCCCCCCAGGGACGTGCACAGGAATTTTGAAGGGCAGTTGCTCTGACCTGAAAAAAGGCACTAAACACAGTATCCAAAATGTATTAACAATATAAATGTCACCAAAATACATATGAGAAAAAGAGTTCCTTATATTATTGTTTATTGTTTTTTTAATCATTATTTTTTATTTTTTTTCCTTTTTTTTTTATTTGAAATAAATAATCTAGATTGAATTGACAGATGGGGAAAACTCGCTTCTAATAAAATATTAAATAATAAAACGCTTAGATTTCGGAAAAAAATACAATCCTTTTTTAACCTTTTGGCTTCCCGTACATTCAGTTGCGCTTCTAGCTCGTATTCACTTCTGTTGGTACGTATCACGTATGGTAACTGGGCAAAACTACGCATGATTTGTTGTAGTATGATTGCATAAAGGAAGGAAACAGGAATTCCGGTAGGGAACAGAATCGACTGACGTGCAGGCAGCGCTGCAGCAGTGCAGCCACTTAAACAGAGTTTGCCCTTCCCCTACTGACTTTCACTTTCGGTGCCCGAATGGAAGTGAATGAGGCTTTGCGATCGCGATTATTTTTTTATTTTATTTTTTTTCTCGGAAGGGCGAGTCGGAAGGGCAACTTGAGTCAGGAAAGGCAAACGGGCAGTTGCCCGGGCAACCAGAGCAACCCCCCTGTGCACGTCCCTGCCCCCCCCACAGTTTCTGTATTAATGAGGGAAATACAAAGTAGTCTGTAGGCTCACCAATTCCAAATAATAGCTGCATAATGACAAGACATCAAACTACTGTCATATTCTTAATTATAATAAAAATCTACTGCTTCATAACATCATAATATTCTGTTGACTAAATCTCAGATGGTTAGTGAAGTTTGCAGTGTTGCCACAGTATTTCACTGTCTCTGTACACACATCACACACAGCATCATGTAAAATCAGACGTTTAGCACCCCCATATCGCCAAAATGGCATGATCCTTGTTTTGCTGTGAAGCAAACTGAAGCAGACTGTGAGATTGACAGTCGAATCAGGCTCCGCCCATCGAAGCATCGGATCTTTGACTATTCAGGGTCAGACCTGGATAAAACACACATTCCAAATTACTGAGTTTAGATATCGATATTTTTATATGATTATCCATCCTAGAGCACTAGAGAACTAAAACTACTGAGATGTTTTAGTATTTTTTCATATTGGTATTTGTTACATTTAGTCAACTTTAGATAATTAATACAGACCTGAGTACAGATTAATGAACAGACAGACAGGCTTTTGTTTCTCATTTTGGATGCACACACATGCACAATTCAACTACAATTTATTAGTAGGGGAGAGCCGGGATGAATGAAACACAGCGATTTTCTCGGAGACCATACAAGTCTGATATGCCAAACTACCTCAGTACATACAGAACACAGTACTTAACAGAACCGGGAAAAATCAGGTGGATACGTCACACTGAGTTATACGAAAGAAGCTGTTTTCAATCAGGAAAGTAAATTCACTCAAGTGATCGTTTTTCATTTTTTGTGTTTATTGTTCCATGTGCCATGGTCATGATCACATGAAAGATTAGTTAGTACTTCCTGAAGTTTTAAATGTCAGAGTTTTACAGTTTAGAAGCCAGTGAAGTTTAAATTTCAGGGGTCACTGTCGGGACGATTGAAACCATTGAAACAGAATTGAAGCCATTCTACCTTATTTACATACGGCGGGAGGGGGGCAGAGCCCACCAGGCTGCTCACAGCCAAATAACAGGGTCTTCACCGTAGACCAGGAAAACATGCTGCAGATGTACATAAAAAGGGCAGCCGATATCTAATCCAAATGTGCATTAGCTGTTGAATATTCTAGCTAAGTTATATTTATACTCTTTTTTATTAAGAAAAAGGACATAATGAGTTTGCAATAACTGACAAAAATCAGCTGGAGAAGTGTCGGTGCAGGCCACTTTGTTTGTTTCCCATTTCCAGAGCCAGGGCTGAGTACAAACACTGAATTTATTTTAGTGCACAAACAGAACGGACAGCTAGCAGACCGCGAGGAGATGCTCACTGAAACTGAAAAAAAGACATGTATTAGATTAGAATTGCACACCCCTCCTTTAAATCACAAAGTTGATCTGCAGTATTGTAGATAAAAGTATCCCATCACCTCAGCAGAGACACATGTCCGTGTGGTTTTAGGTTTGGTCACAACTTCCCCCACAGAAAGTGACTGAGCTCGAGCAAAACAAAAATAGTCTCATGAACAGAAGTGAGCGTGAAGAGAGACAAAGCTCTGCCCTCTCTTCCATCTTCTGTTGCTCTAGTAGCAGCCGTTTTTTATACATAGCTATCTATTCAACTCAAATTAGCTTTATTGGCATGAATGTGTAACAACAATTTTGCCAAAGCATCATAAATGTAAATGATCCGTACTTGTATAGCGCCTTTCTAGTCCACTCAAAGCGCTTTTACACTGGCGGAATAGCCGCCCAAGAACACTTCGACACACAACCAGGGGGAGCAAGGGATTGAACCGCCGACCTTCCGATTAACGGCCAACCCGCTCTATCTCCTATGTGTGTTTGTGTGTGTTAAAAAAATAAAAATATCTTTCTCTAGTGGTGTTGGTTTAAAAACAAATTTGGAAGTTAATGACCTAAAATTATTTCAAATATGAAACAGTAGAAAGGAAGAACAATAAGAGGGAAAAAACCTAAAACTTCAAGACATACAGTAACGTAACATACTACATGTGCATACTAATGTAAGGATGTGAAAATTCCTCCTGTGCTCTGCGCCTGGGATCCCCTGCTGCCTCTCTCTTTAGTCCGCCCCATTATGTATATAACATGTCAGCACTTTAAAGTATCTTCATGATGAGATACCACCAGGTTTGTTTGTAATTGTTCAGGTTTTTACCAATTTGTCCCTGAGATGTCTTCATTCCCCTGATTTAATAGAGATAAATTTATTTTGTATGGATGGAGTCCAACAGCAAAGTGACTTTCTCTGAATAATCAAGAGAAATGGGAGGCACCTGAGCTAAATTTCAAGCGTCATAGTAAAAAGTCTAAATACTTCCGTGATATTTAAATTTTCATTTTTAATACATTTGCAAAAATGTCTTATGGGGTATTGAGTGTAGATTGATGATGGAAAGTGGAATTAAATGATTTTAACACAAGGCTGCAACATGAAATGTGAAAAAGTGAAGGAGTCTGAATACTTTCTGAAAGCACTGTGTACACACACAACACACACCTTCATCACAGTACAGGCTCTGTGAATGTAAGAACAGTGGCCATTTACTGCATAACATGCACAAATAAACACAATAAAACGTGATATGATTCAATTCAGTGGTCTTGTGTTTCATGGCTGTGAAATAATTACTTATTGTTTATGTCATTTTTTACTTTAACATTTTTTAGGGACCAGGAACAAACTTTTGCAGGCAGGAAGTGTAAACATTTCAATGTTTGCTGTGGTCAAAACCACTGAAGATGTCTGAGCTTTGTGTAAAAGGGAAGGAAGAACAGACAGGCTGTACTCAGGAGGAGAAGGTAAAGAAAAAATGTGCTCTCATATTTATATGAAATGTAACTTCTCTCTTCCTGCTGCATCATTATTAATGCAAAGTAGAAACATTTGTCAGCAGCAGAGCGACAGTGTCCGTGCTGGATGTGAAGATGGGGCACACTTTGCTCTGTGTGCTGGGGTTATTCTGTGAGTACATCACTGACTTTACAATGTTGAGACTTTCAGAGGCAAACTCATGTTTTATCAACATGGTAGTTTAGTAGACATGATCTTGGTTTCTGATTTGACTTGGTTCAGAGTGCAGGACTGTTAAATACACTACTGCACTAGTTCTTTTTGCACTAATGTTTTGCACGATGCATGTTCAGTTTATGGTCTGAGGTATTGTTATTGGTATATATTGTATAAAGCCTTTGAATTTAACTTACCTCTGTACCAACTAACAGAATATCATCACAGAAATGTGTGATCCTGTTGATTGATAATCAATAGTTGCCTCTGATGAAACTCCAGCTGGATTTAAATGCCTTTGCTTTTTGTCTGATGAAGTTTAATCTTTATTTCAGTGCTGAATACACTCCTCTACGGACACGCTGAAGGTGACCAACTGTCTTTGTCTGTTTTTTAAAAAGTATTTGCATAAGGTCGCCCTACATAGATGCCACACAGGACATAATTACTTCAGGGGTTCTTGTAGCTCCGGATTTATTTCTGACCACATGTACAGGTCAGTTTACAAAGTGGTATGCTACTGGGTCGTTCCCGAAAGCAGCTCAAATGCTGGATTTTGTAAAAGTCTCTAACACCCAAAATGTTAGAGAAGGAAGAGGCAAAATAAAAATAAAATGCAGAGAAATACAATAAAAAAAAACACAATACAAAATACGGCAGTGGGCTATGACTATCGACAGAAAGCATAAAATAAATCATGTTAACAACCATAAACCCACTTATATCAACATCAGTGTATAGTTCATATCAGTTTTCGGGTAACAAAATACAATATCAGGGTCTGACTGAATGCATGTTAGCATTACCATGAAATTTAGTACACAACGATTGGCGCCCAAAAAAAGTCAGCCACCACATGTACGACTGTGGAAATCCACTTACAATCTACTTCACACTTACTTTAAATTGAACAATGTTATTCTCAAACAAAACAACAAAGAACACATGTATTAACATTTACACAACTTTTAGAAATATATTAAACCAAAGGGGGAAAATCACCTATGACTAGATTTACCACCTGGTTACACTTATATTTCACTTCAGAGAGAAAGTGATGACTTTAGAGTCTTATGTTGAATTTCAAAATACACACACTTATAAACAATATATACACTACTGTTCAAAAGTTTGGGGTCACTTAGAAATGTCTTTATTTTTGAAAGAAAAGCACTGTTTTCTTAAATGAAGATAAGTTAATCAGAAATACAGTCTAGACATTGTTAATGTGGTAAATGACTGTTCAAGATGGGAACGGCTGATTTTTAATGGAATATCTTCAGAGGCCCGTTTCTAGCAACCATCACTCCTGTTTTCTAATGGTACATTGTGTTAGCTAATCGTGTTAAAAAGCTAATTGAAGATGACAAAACCCTTGTGCAATTATGTTAGCCAGCTGAAAGCTGATGTGCTGATTAGAGAAGCTATAAAACTGGCCTTCCTTTGTTGATCTGGAGCATCAGCATTTGTTGGTTCAATTATACTCTCAAAATGGCCAGAAACAAAGAACTTTATTCTGAAACTCATCAGTCTATTCTTGTTCTGAGAAATGAAGGCTATTCCATGTGAGAAACTGTCAAAGAACTGAAGATCTCGAACAATATTGTGCAAAGAAAAATACATATCTCAGACCAGCCAATAAAAAGAAAAGATTAGGGCGTAATCTTTCCTACATCAGATAGCTCTGGTATTGACTGAGGGACACTCACACGTCACTGTGAAGTGAAATAAGTCAGTGGAAACAGGAGGATTTCTTAAAACATCAATCTGAATTCAGAGAAAATTCAGTGAAAATGTCAGACATTGTTCAAAAATTTGTGTACTCTTAATAATTTATTTATTTTATCATTTAATCTTTCATTTCTGCCACATATTGAATATTACATTATGTTCACCAGAAGCTCACTTTTATTTTGAAATCTGCTGTAACACGATGTTACCGCAATGTTGACATACTGATATTAATGCGTCTTGATGTAGATTTACCATTTGTATCTTTTCCTCTTTTATTTTTGTATCCTAACTGGGTATTTTTTGTGTTAACAGTTCACAACAGGGCCGTTGTGACTCTCCAACCCAACTGGACTCAGATCTTCAGTGGTGAGAAGTTCACTGTCAGATGTGAGATCCAGGGAGGAGGAGACACTAAATGGACGTATGAATGGACACCAGCCAAATTAAACAGACCTCCAACAGACAATGAATACAGGATCATCAGAGCTACTGAGTCCCACAGTGGAGACTACAGCTGTAAGGGTAGAAGAGACTCATATTCCTCAACAGAGTGGAGTGATGTCATCACACTGACGGTATCATGTAAGTTGGACCGTCTGTCATCTGTAATGAAAATGTAAAATCTAAATAACGCAACAGAAAACTCTTATTTCTCCAACAATTATGTCGCTCTCTTCAGGTCACACAGTAACAAAAACACTATCATAAATTAAAGGCGGCATCATTACTTCTTCCTAATTCTTACCATTTCAAGTTTTAACTTAATCTATTTTCTCCTTTCCTCTTGCTCATGTTGACTGTGAATGAAATGTAATCAAAATTCAATAAAGTAGTAGTTTCTAGTGGTAATGAAATTCCAAAGTATGATGTTTGTTTTGATTGCTGTGTCAAAATATTTCATCTTGCAAATTTGGTGAATTGTTCTCCTGGATAGTTTCAGTAGAGATAAACACAGGAAAAGAGAGAGAGGTTAAAAACTGGACTAAACCTGAATGTATTTCTTGCCTGTGGGGCTGCACAGACAGTAATTTCCTTGTTTTATGTCTTTGTTCTAAATCAAACAGCTCAGAGACCAAAGGCTGAACTGAGAGCTGACAGGAGAGACTTTCCAGCAGGGGGCAGTGTGACCCTGAGCTGCTCTGTGAACCCGTCATCTGGTTGGAAATACTTCTGGTACAGAGGAGAGAAAACCTCTGAACCTCTGAACACACAAGATGCTGTCTTCATCTCAGATGGACAAATCAGTGTCTCACAGGGAGGACTCTACTGGTGCAGAGGAGGAAGAGGAGACCCAGTTTACTACACAGAGGACAGTGATCCAGTCAGCATCGATAAAATTAGTGAGTTTGACATTTGATTTGTTTTTGAAACATAATTTAAAAACAGTTTGGAATCCATAATTATTAATTGATAAATAGATTTTGCTGTAGATTTACCATTTTGTCATTTTTGTATCCTCACTATGAATTCATGATCATGAACAGTCACAAACAGGGCTGTTGTGACTCTGCAACCAAACTGGTCTGAAATATACTCAGGAGAGACGATCAGTCTGAGATGTGAGATCAAGGACGGAGGAGACACTGAGTGGGAGTACGAGTGGGAAACAACCAGCTCATACAAACCTTTAAACGACAGTGAATACAGGATTAGATATGCTTACTCATCCCACAGTGGAGACTACAGGTGTAAGGGCAGAATGAAAAGTGCACAGCAGTCTTCAACAGACTGGAGTGATCCTGTCAAATTAACAGTATCAGACAGTGAGTCACATCACATTTCTCTCAAAGTGAATATTATTCAGTTCATTTAAAGGTTGTTACATGTTTTTATTTGTAAAAATCCCTCTCCAACAGATAGACCCCAGTCTGTCCTCACTGTGTCTCCATCCTGGCTGAGTCCTGGAGCCTCAGTAACTCTGAGCTGCAGAGTTAAAGATCCATCTGCAGGATGGAGGTTCTTCTGGTTTAAGGCTGTTCCCAAACTATCAGGCAACTACTCCTACGACCAAGAGCTGCTACCTGGCAGCAGCAACGGGACTGAACAGGATTCCTACATCGTTCATGGACAGACACACACAGCAGGATATAAGTGCAGAGCTGGAAGAGGAGATCCAGTGTATTACACTTCTTACAGTGAACCAAAGTTTGTCTGGTCTGCAGGTCAGTTTGTTTCTGTCTGTGCTTCTCTCAAGATGTTTTGTCTTCACCTCGGTTCATCCACTTTCTGTCTGTGACCAACATACAGTATCTTTAAAACTAACACTTATACTGACAAATAATTGGCTGTGTACATTCATGCTCCCCCAACAGAAGAAATGTATTGATTGTGGTGACCTTGTGATCTTTCCTCTCTCACCAGCATCAAGACAAACTTTCTGCTTTCCACCTTACTGGGTCATTTTACATACTGGACTGGGAGGATTTCCTTGTTTCCTTCCGTCTTTACACAGTTTTCCTTTTTTTAATTCATCTGATAGCATAAAAACACCAAAAAGAGACATTTTGCTGAAACTTTATTGCAATGAGTACTTTTACTTTGGATACTGAAGCTCATCTTACTACTTATATTTACTGACACAACAGGCAGGACGTGTAGTTAGAAGACACCTGGTTAGCGGTCAGGTAGGTGTGAGACAGACAGAGGAGTGAAAATCAGGAAAGGACAAACCAAAGAAATCAGCAGGTTAATGGACAAGTTGAACAAACAGAGACGACTTTGACAAATAAGAGGAAAACACTGACTGTGTATAGAGAGACAATGCAGCACGTTTCAGTTTGAAATACTCACCTCTGTATCTTTGAAAGATGGCAGGTGAAAGTAGGTAGTTTCCCACTTTACAGACAACAGCAGCTGTAGTCACTTTGTTGTTTATCATTTAAAATAAACTCAGATTGTAGCAAGTTTTCAAGTAGAAACCAGTTTCACCAAAACACTGCACCTTGTTTTAATGTTTGTACTAATACTCAGCAATAAAGGAATATTTGCGTTTTAGCATTTTAAATCTTAAGATCTCTGTTTGCTTTGACCCATTATTACATGTTGTTTTTCAGATTTTCATTCATCAGCGTCTCTCACAGTGAGTCCTGACAGAGTGCAACACTTCACCTCTGACTGTGTCTCACTGAGCTGTGAGGGAAACTCTACTGAGTGGAGAGTGAGGAGGTTTACTGAGGACGACTACCCGTCATACTCATCACACTGCTCTTACTGGGGCACAATGACTGGATCCACATGCAGCATAAACAGTTACCAGCAGAGTGATGCAGTGTACTGGTGTGAGTCTGGATCAGGAGAGTTCAGCAACGCAGTCAACATCACTAAACAGAGTATGGTTTCATTATGTTTTCTGTCTTGTATAAATTATTTTAAACATCATATTATGTGTTTTAACATACTGAATATTAGATGTTGTGTACATTTACACTGAGGAGGATGATGTACTGACAATCTGACAAGAGTTTGGCCCATTACTGCTTCATGGTATCTGAGAAATTAACCATGAACCAAAACCTTTTATCTATTTACTGTAGATTTAACATATTTTATAATACTTGAATTTTAATGTGAGTTTTTAATCATTAGTAAATAACATCAACATTTAACATTTGTACATAAAAAAGTTAAAATAAGAAAATCTCCCCTCTTTTGTTACATTTTGTTGTCTTTAATCATTCACTTAAAATGCTCAAGATTTAGATCATTGATTTGTTTTTCCTAAAGATTATTACACAACAAATATTATGAAATCAGGTAGAAAATCTGACGTCCTCTGCACTGCAGTATAATTCAGTCATGTGCTGATCAAACAGGTAATGCCAAATAATTTAATTAAAGAAACTGACTGCACACCAGAAACTTCTGCTCTGGACCAACTTCAAACATCTTTGGTTTTTATTTAAAAAACTGCAAACAATATTTCCTGACCATGTCAATATTTCACAGAGATTTTTAGTGTGTTTTGCCCTTAAAACTAAAGATTTTAACCTTCTCACTGGTATTATTGTGTCAGTTTCATCCACTTTCTGTTTCATATGTACCCATTAACAAAGCCATAGACTTGACTTATCATCAACTGCAGTCAAACCACAAGTGTTTCCCTGAGGTTTAAACCATTTTGTAAACCACTCCCTAAAATCTATACTGGCCACCAAATCTAATTGTTTTCAGTAACATAGTAAGTATTTAATAAAACAGTGATTTTAAACATGTACAAATGTCAGTCAGTTTTTATCTCATTCTGTTTCCAAAGAGAGTCACAGTCACATGTCTCTCCTGCTGAGGCTGAAACACATTTCATCACCTTACTGTGACGATGACTGGATGTAGCTATACAGAAGATTTGTGTGGGTTTATGTTTGATCTGTCCTTACCGTAAAACTTTAATGAATAGCCGAGTCCCAAATAGCCGCCAACCCCGTTTACTGGTGTGGGTAAACATTTTGACAAATAAAAGCAGGTCTCGATTAGACGCCTGGTCTGTTTTTACAGAAGTTCTTTGGATGTATAAAACCACTTAAAGCTCGTGGGGGTCGCCCTCTTAAGCTGCTTCTAGGCTGCATAGATTGTGAATACAATACGTGCTGCACATCGTTGGATCAGTTAGATTCTCCAAAATTTAATCTGTGATCTCTTCTCATCGTCCTCCATCCAGTTATTCTGAAGTTCTGCAGCAGCTGATCTCTGACTGAAACCTCATATTCTGTTTTACAGATGAACATATTATCCTGGTGAGCCCTGTCCGTCCTGTGACTGAGGGAGATCCTGTTAGTCTCAGCTGCAAGTTCAGGACAGAAAATTAGTTTCAGATGTGTTTTTCTATCGAAATACAAACTGATTCAAAATGATAGCAGAAGGGAGCTGAACATCTCTGCAGTGTTGAAGTCAGATGAGGGTTTCTACAAGTGTCAACACTCAGGAGAAGAGTCAGCACAGAGCTGGATGTCAGTTAAAGGTGAGTAGGATTAAAACAACTGCTGCATCTTCTTCTGTGTAAACTGTGTTTCTGTCTGAGAAAGAAACATGGTCAAATACTGACCTGAATCTGAAGTAGCATCAGTTTCAGCTGATTTCACCTGTTGGAGCTGGAGAAAGTCTGCATCAGTGGTTGTGACAGTCATGTTTATTGTGAATGGATAATTTCACACTGTACTCTGTTATATAGTGTACTATAAGTACTCATGTGTGTCAAAACATTACATGACATTGAGACTGGGATTTATGTTGTTTATCTACGTGCATATGTGTTTATACCTCTGCATTTGTGCTTGAATGTGTTGTAGTTGTGACATGACTAAAATTTTTAATAAAGCACATTTTGTTAATGAAAAGCGCTTTAAGCTATAAGTTAACAGTTATTTATTATTTATTTGTTTATTATATCAGTGTCCAGACCTGAAAGCTCTTCAGTTCCTGTACCGTTGATTGTTGGGCTGGTTTGTGGAATCGTACTTATTCTTCTTCTGCTCCTTTTGTATCGCTACAGACCGTCCAAAGGTGAGACCTTTTCTTCTTTTATTAGATATTATGTGATTTTAATTATTCAAACACACGTGTTCTGATCTCATCACATAGAATAGCAGAATAACAACTTACAAAACAAAACCATGTAACAACAAATGTCTTTTTCACAGATTCCTGCTCCATCAGGTTGGTACAACACTCCCTTCTCTAATTTTGAACACAACAGCAACATTTCTTGTTCCTTTTTATATGTATTGTGTTTGATTCATGTTGTAGGCCAATCCAGTCTGAGAGCACTAATCGAGGCCCTGACACAGTTTATGTGGTCGACCAGAATGAGGCTCAACGTGACGAATACTCCACCCTTCTCCATGGTCAGCATTTAAACCTTTGATTATTTTATACATTTATTTATTTTACACATACACATGTAGGCTGCACATATATACATTTCAGGAGCCATTTAAAGCTAATCAGAATATGTTTAATAATTGTCATGCAATTAAATTGATTAATCTACTCTGGGCTTTATTTTCACTGCTCTGCAGGTGATGTTTGTCTCTATGAAACAATCAAAGGCTCCAAAGAAAATGAAAATGGTACAGTATACACCTTGTTATTCATCCTCTGAAAGTGAAGTTCATATGTTTGTGTATAATATATAATACTGTATAAACACACACAGCAGACAGGCTGCCAGCTGCTTTCACACCTGTAGTTTGCAGGAATTTGGGGTCTTATCAGATGGTGCGGGCCGGAGCGAAGCACGTCACCTTCATAAAGGGGTTCCTCACCAGCTGGACCTGTACTATTGTTTTGTTCATCCTCTGCGAGTCCTGCAGGACTGTTTCTTGACCCAGGGGTTTTGTTAACAGGAAGGTTATGGAAAGTTTACTCAGTTATGTGCAGAGGGAATGAAATTCTGGTCACCACGCCACAATTAGTATCATGCAATTAAATTGATGAATCTCTGCATGGTTTGATTTTCACTGCTCTGCAGGTGATGATGCTCGTCTCTATGAAACAATCAAAGGATCCAAAGACACTAAAAATGGTACAGTACACCTTTTTATTCATCCTCTCAAATGTAAATTGAACATTTTAAATATGAGCTTATGTTTTTCTTAAAGTAAGCACATTTGGTTGCCAGAGCACTTGATAATGTTTATTAAAATTAATCAGGATGTCCAAGAAGTCTTAAAAACAAGAATCTTTTATTTAAAATAAGATTAATGGTATTCTTTTTTCTGGATAACATAATTTTACACAGGTATTACCTGTACAGAGTCTTTTCCAACCAGGTTTTGAACCTACAATCCGACAATCTTGAAGCTGGGAGAAAAATGTGCCAACTATTGAGCCACGGATTGCCATGAAAGTTTGTAAAGACATTCATGTTCCACAGAGGATGGAGCTCAATGACTTTGATGACTTTTTTCAAATACTTTAGTTTATTACCAGAAATAACACCAAAAACGTTTATAACATTCTTAACAAATGTGCTGCCAACAGCATTCAGCCCAAAGCACAGCAGCTTCACAGGTCTGCTTTCATGGACTCTTAGTCTCGTTTATTAACAACAGACCCTTGATGGCACATGTGATTACTAATGATGGAGTTACTTCAAAGTTAGTAAGTTTGCATTAAGTGTCTACATGTGTTTGTCTGTCTCTTCCACATGTGCAATCATTAATGTAAATGTATTCTGCTTTATGTTATTTCTATCCTTAGAGAAGAGTGTTAGGTCTGATGATTATTCGACTATAGATTTGTTTGTTTTTTTGTTGTTGTTCAACGGGACGTAAACCATCTGATTTAATGGGGGGTGGGTGCTCTTTTATGTGAGAGATGATATTAAATGTGAACGTGTGATTTACAATGCAGAATATGTTGGGTTATAAATAATTTTGTCCCAACAAATGGTTTTAACATTATTGGTGTGTATAGGCCCCCTTCTGCAGATGCAACGTTCTATGATCAACTCATGGGAGTTTTGAAAGAGTGTGAACAAATACTTACTATTGATGGGTGATTGTAATGTGAATTGGGAAGAAAAATGTAAAAGGAGGAAACTGAAGATGATCAGAGAAATTTCACCTTGAACAATTAATTAAAGATCCAACTAGAATTGCAAAATCTTCCAGTACACAAATTGATCTGATATTTACCAGAACGAATAACTAAAAGCTAAAATTTAATAACTGGGATGTCTGATTATAACTTAACCCTATGTGCCAGAAAGTTGACCAAAACAATCCGCAAAGTGTGCACGGTCAGAAAGTTGACCCTGTTTCACTGAGAATGTTTGAGGATAACAGGAAGGAGCATTAAGAGGCCAGATTTTTTTGATAAGGGAAAAGCTGTGTTTTTACCTAATAAGGATTTAGTTACTGCGCAATTTCTAAGACGTGGCATGTTCAGGGGTTATAAAAATCAAATGTAGGGAGAGGCAGTTAGTTCCCTCTTGGAGCGAGAGATGGGGGGAGCTGTCGAATCATCCACTGACAGGTGAAAATGCCCTTTAAATAAGACTAAATTCTTTAATAGATATGTCTCAAAAGATAATACCTTTTGAAGAATATTTAATATCTTAAGTCATTTTTAATCTGGAACAGAAGTGTTTTGCCCGAGCATTTTGTTATTTGATCCCTTTGTAAATATTTCACCTTTTCTTATTCTGTAAACAAATTGTTTTATAATTTTATATCAGTCTAATCGATTGATTATTACTTTCTCTGAGGAAAACAAAAAAGTCACCACAGTGGCTTCATCAATCGGGTCTTAGTCTGAATGTAAATAAGACAAAAGGTATGTTTTTTTCTAACTCCTTGGCACAACCTACTCTCACTGACATTTTAGTTAATGGTGAAAGGATTGACATAGTGACTGATTTGAAATATCTTGGTGTGACCTTGGATCCAAATTTGAATTTTAAGAAACATGTCTAAAATATGGTTAAACCATTAAGTACAATGTAGTTAAATGTAGACATATTAGAAACTGTCTATTTTTGGTGCAGCTAGAATATTTATGCATGACATGATCCTTTCACACACGTCTTACTGCATTACATGTTGGGAGCAGGCTGGTGAAACAAATGTTAAACCTCTGGGGTCTTTGTATAAACAAACTCTCAAAAATCACTATCATCACTGCAGAATACTTCAGAAATATAATTTGTTTAGTTTTGATAATTTTATGTTATTTTCTAATTTGTGCTTAGTATATAAAACTGTAAATGCTTTGCTCCTCCTCCATTTTGTGATTTTGTGTTTACTCGCTCAGTAAAATCAATTAAGTCTTTCAGGATCTTCTACTCGAGACTGTGTCATACTATTCATCGTACGCATTTGGCCAGTCTGCTTTTTCTGTAAAAGCCACAAACCAGTGGAACACCCTGCCTGACGATGTAAGGAGCAGCAACTCCATCAATATGTTTAAAGCAAAGTTGAAATGGCAGTTAAAAGCTACTCGGCTTTGCGATCACTAAACCAGATATTTTATCTGAAATTTTTGTACTGCTTTTATTTTAATTGACTGGTAAATGTTTGTTATGTTTCATTGAGAGTAGTTCACATTGTACATCTTGTGTCTTTTTCTGTGTAACCTTGTCTGTTTATGTAACTTTGTTTGCTGTTGATTTGTGCTGGGGCTGAGCGATGTGGCTCGAGGTCGTGTTGAATTAGCTTGAAGCTGTAATCTGGTACAGTGCATCAAATGGTAACGTTTGTTTTACTGTACGCTGTCCCTTTTAAACAAAATTTAAAAAAGGTTTTTGTCAATGAAATTTAATAGGTTGAAAATAATTAACTCATGAACAAAAACATTTAAATAAGATGTTTTTGTCTTGAAACTGTGTCAGAGCATACTGGAGGTGCTGTAACACACATGTTCCCTTGACTTTAGCTAAATATAACTCTGAATAACAAACACTTAATAATTAAGACAAGGCAAGTGATATTTACTTGAATGAAGTCAAACAGCCTTGTACAGTCAGCACTAGATAATCTAATCCATACTCAAAACAAGTGAGATGGGATTAGATTTCTGTAACTAAAGAATATGTATATTTCAGATGCAGATGAATCCCAGGATGAAGATGTTCTTTGACTGAACTTAAAAACACTGGGAAGAAAGGTGAGTACTCCAGACACATACAATAAATAGAAATAGTTTAGAGTTTGACCTGAAGTGCCAATTGATTTATTGGTTATTTTAACAGGGAACAACATGAACCAGAGGAGAGCTCTGTTTACTCTGAGGTGAAGATAGGAACCCCGAGTACAGTCAGTTACAACAGGCATGCTCAGAGTTTGGATTAACATGTGTCAGATCACCACACAGTTTAATTTTGTCTGTTTCATATTCACACAGAGAAATAGGCGTATCATTCCTTTTCCCTAAAGGAACATTTGTCAAAAAAGTACCCTGTACATAACTTTACCTTTAACAAGCTTAAAGTACAGGGAAATGATGTGTCAGTGATCCCCCGCCCCCAGGACATGAAAGGTGGGTGATGGCACAACCACCAATGTGTCCCTGGATAAAAGTATCAACTAAATGAATAATTGTAAAGGAACATTTTTGTCACTAGAGGTGCAGAAAAGTTCTTTTAGAGGTTCAGACAAGAAGGTACAAAACTGTACCAACTTCAAAGGTACAGTCCTGGTAAGCTGCTAGGGTACAGCTGGAGCGACCAAGCATTTGTACCTTTTTAGGTCCATTCCTGTACCTCAATTTCTCTGTGTGTATGTGAATGAATGTTATTGTATGTGTGTCTCATTTGTTTCAATTACATTTGCATGTAATAAACTGAATAGTTTTTTTCACATTACATGCACACGTTTTCCTCTGTCTCTTTAAAAATGTATTGATATGCATCATGTTTTTATTATAATTTTAAAATCTTTTTGGTTATTTTATGTAGCTATCAATAAAAGTTTTTTTCCAAGTAAACTGTCGGTTGTGTTTTTAATTGGGGGGGAGAAAAACCGGTCAGCGTTGATAATGTGGGGGGCCGCCACACTGAAATAATACATTACATTTACTGTAGAGATCATCCAGCTTGATCACTGCGCCTTTATTAAGGCGAGGGTGTCAGCATCAATGACTGAAGTAAAATCCATTAATGATATTGCTGAGGCTGGAAATAATGTGAACCTACACGCTGCAACATTATCCTCACTTTGATCACGTTACAAGACTAGTATGCTACAGCTGGCATGGGTCTCAGTTATTGTTGACAGTTCAAGACATACGTAATTAGAGAGTTACAGCATAAGAGAGAAAACGCTTAATAGCCAATGGTAATTGACATGTTGATCAACATCCTTTATCCTCATGGTCTTTATTATTGTAACACTTTGTAACATATTTCAACAATCCGAAACATAAAACGGCGTTGAAACAGTATCAGATTACAGAAAAGCCAAAAGAAAACAAACCAAAAGAAAGAAGGAAATTGTGAGAGTCTATTCAGGCATCATAACGTGCGTCTGTATTACAAGGATCTTGCTAAATGCAGTCCATGGATTTTATCTTTGAGTTTGTGAACGTGCGTCGCTTTAAATGTTGCCGCTGCAAGGAATTGTGGGACGCCATTTTCTCCTTTCCTTTGGTAAAGGATGGTCCGGTGTACCCTATGCTAAAGGAGATATGAAAGAAAGCATTGAGGCTCCTTTCCTTAGCTTTTAGAGAATTCAACCAGCTCTTATCATGGCTGCCACTGAAATACTTCCGGCTCACTTCACTCATTTAGGAACCTTCGTAAGCAAAAAAGACTTTTCGGACGCAGCCCAAAGGTTGGCAACAGCCATGAAGTGGACCTGATGTTGGTTTTAAGGGACTATTTCTTCTGTAAAAATGTGTTTCAATCTAAACTGTTGACTGATCTTATTGAGAGTAACTGAGACATTTGCTCTGAAAAGACACGTTAGTGTTGGATTTTCCTTATTTGCTTGGCGAGGGACAAGGTTGTGATGTGGATGAAGTCTCTTACTGTATTGAACATTTGAGTGTAATTTGCTTTTTATAGTTTTCTTTGTTCTTTGGGCTTACTGTATTTGAATATACAGATATTCAATACTGTATTACTTGCAGCACTTACAGTGTACTATATATTTACTGTACTAAGTTGTGATTACTATCATTTTTAAATTGGAAAATGTGTTTCCTCTATACGCAAAAAAAAACATTTTCTGTAACTACATGCCCTGGACGCTGTGTTCTCAGTTTTTTGATGTAGTGTCTAAAGAATGCTCTGTAGTGTTTTATCTATTGACTGGCTGTGTTTATGTTTTGAAAGCATTGTTTGATTTTGAGCACACATCAAATGGTTTTGAGACAAGTGTTTTATTTTTGCCAGAAGAGTCAGGGGTTTTGTGAATGTAGTTTAAAGATTGGGTTTTGTTTTTAAAGTCTTGAGAATATGGGTGAAGGTTTCAAGAAATGTGGCAATTGTGAAAAACTGTAATTCAGCATCAATTAATTTATTTTGTATCAGGATGAAGGCAGAAATCTCAGAGACAGACATCAAAAGTTTCCTCATGATGAGACACCACTCGGTTTAACTGTGATGCTGATATATTATGCATCATGGGGTGGACAGCAGAGAGAGGCAACAGGGAGTCCAGGCACAGAGCGCAGCAGGAATTTCACGTTCCTACATCAGTATAAAAGGATTCAGGTTGAAAATCAAAAAGTATGTGACATCTGATGAAAATCACATTTATTTAGGAGTGGAGAGCATGAGAGGTCAGAAGGTCAGAGAGCTCCTGGTGGCGCTCAGTGTTTTTAGAAGTGAGAAGGACAATAAGTCCAACAGGTGAAATTACCTGCTGATAACTGTTATGGCAGAAAATTGTGTCCTCTTACATTTAATCTTTTATGTATGATCTTTTAATATTATCATTATTATTACTATTATTGTTATAGATAAGTATTGTATTTTTATCCTTAACCTTTCCTCTCCTATTCTCCTTATGTTGGTCTGTCCACATTTACTAGGGTTTAGGTCAGAGCTGTGAGATTGTTTTGGTGTTTTCCTCTCTTGTTGTTCCTCTCCTCTCCTGGAATGTTCATTCAAGGCTGAGAGAGGATCTCTGTTCCCAAAACATAGAAACCTACACAGTGTAAATGATGATGCATCCCTTTGCTTGGGGCCAGACGCCCGATGCCGGCCTAGTCGGCAGGTCTCTGGACCAGCTGTATGTGTGTTTTAGTTCTTCTCTGTTTATTCTCTTTTGTTAAATAAATTCTTCAAAGATTGGTTGTTACTCAATTCTTTGCTCAACCCCTCACCAGGAATATAATTTCCACGACAAATTTGGCACCCCAGATGGGACAGACGAGGGATTCAGACTCCGCTGAAGGACAGAAGCCGGCTTTATTATTTTTGGAAAATCCTCCCAGTAGGGAGAAGCTGTGTTCAGCGGAGCCCTGATCTTCGCTCTGTTCCAGAAAGAAAAGGAAAAAGAACTAGAGTAGATTATTGAGAGAGAAAAGATAAAAAGAGTGAGATTGAACAGAGTGAAGGAAGTGGTCTTATTTCTCACGCCTGAATGATTTGCAGGACCCTCTATCTGCTTGTAAACTGACAAGTGGATGGAGAGTGGGACTGGATCAGGGGCTCACGGACAGACGTGTCCTGGTTTTCTCTGTGGTGTCCGAGGGTTTTTGGGGTTTCCAGCTGATAAGTTAGGTATGCAGCGCGTAGCCTCAGACTTAACTGAACTCAGTGGACCCAGATATTGCTATGGACCCGAGTACAGACTAGCTGGAGAGAGTAGACTATGGCAAGAGTCAGAGTAAAGTAAAGTCTGACTCCACTCCCAGATTACCTTCACCAGTTGTTTCACCAGAAATTGATGACTAAAATATTAGACATTAATGGGACAATTTGATAAGTGGGTTGAAATGGGTTTCCTGCAAAAATGGAAGCTTTAGCCTAAAACTGTTGAACCAGCTTTAGACATGTTTGGAGAGAAAGGAGAGCAGAAATGCAATAGAGCGTGCAGCCCTGTCCAGACGAAAGAAAAGTAAACAAACTGCATTTCAGATGAGTAAGACAAGAACTGAGGACAAGGAGAGCTCAGGACTGAAAATTAGAATAGATTCATTAAGGATTTGATAAAACTGATTAGCCTTTTGATGACCGAGGTACAAATCACGGAATCCAGTCCTGGACTCTGCTCCTCCTCCTCCTACATGCTCCAGTCCCAGTCCATTAAGAAGAGTATGCCATGGGTGAAGCTGCTGCTGAAATCTGACCAGGCAGCAACAGAGAGATACCAAAAAAATTAAACATCCACTGATGCTCCACAAAACAAAATGCGATCCAGTCCAGTAAGAAGACCACCGGTGTGCCCTGGTGCTGCTGAAATCTGACCAGGCAGCAAAAGGGAGATGAGAAACCAAGAATTAAAGGCCCACTGCCGGTGCACAGAAGGAAATGTGCTCCAGTCCAGTAAAAGTCAGATAAAGAGACACTGGCTCTCCCTCCAGATGCCCAGAGAAAGAAATGCCAGGAAAGAAAAGAGGACATTGTTGAAGCCATGGCTCATGTGACCAGCCTGACTGAAACCTTCGACAGCTCCACAGACACAGCTGGAGCAGTTCGGTTAAGGTTGTCAAAGAGTATGGGCCACAATGACTGACATAAACACAGCGATGAGAAAATCAAATCAAGCTGGACTTCCACAAGATCAGCATAAAGATAAGATAAAATGTTCCTCATCATACGTCACTCCAGCCAGAGAAGAAGGAAAGCAGTTTGAAGTACGCTGAGTAGAGAGGACAATGCACAGTCCAGAATTACCACTGGACTAAGTTCTGCCCGCATGATGCAGGCCAGCAGCTGAACAGCAAGACCAGACCGAATCATGTAGGACTCTCCTAGTTCGCATGACCATCACCTTAGGACTACAGAGGTCTGAAACAAGATGCGATGAGACCCTCAAAGTTCTGAGTTTGATTAGTCCAGAAACTGCTGCTGGAGTAAGGAAGAGTTGTATTTCACATCATGCAAGACAGACAGCACGACAGAGCATGCTTAACATAAAAGATCAACACCAAAACAACTGTCAAAAGAAAATGATTGGTGCTGTATCAAGCCATCCTGGTACGAAGAAACGGACAGTACAGAGGAAGGGGGCAAAGGGCAAAAGTGGACATTGGAAAAGAGATGTTGCACAATTTCTAAAACAGACTGGCAGGGAAAAAAAAGAAAATAAATGGACTGAGCTGAAGAGGGAGGGACGGAGCCTAGTGACAGGATCCAGCCAAAAACACACTGGGTGAGTTACAACCTCTCACAGATAAAGTAAAAATCTCAAACATATTGA